TGATTGTCGGAGTTGTTCTATTTGGTTTTGTGTATTCGGGCGAAGCTCATGATTCCACTGAGATTGTCAAAAATAAAATAATAATTTTCTTCGTATCAGGACAAACTAAATCGGTTCTCTGTTCTCTTGGAACCAGCACCTGGAAACTTCGGCACGAGGACACAGTTCTAGTTCATCTGTTTGTGTGTGTAAATATGGACATGTGTACATGTATACATGTTGACTCAAAAACACACACACACACACTCACACTTCTGACTCTCTCCAAACCACATGTTGGAGTGAGATTTAAGTTCAGAGGAACCTTCGAATCTGTCAAACTGTGCCCATAAATCACGAAAACATTTTTCTATGTCTCCTGACACTTAGAATGGAAGTCACGCTGTGCTCAAAACACAAGCCGCGTGTGTGTGTGTGTGTGTGTGTGTGCGTGTGTGTGTGTCTGTGTGTGTGTGTGCGTTCCTCGTTCATTCCTCGAGGATCAGAAAAACGACCTCCAGCACGAACGCGCTCCCCGTCGTGAACCATTTCCCAGCAAATCCTTGTATTTCTTTTGCGATAAAGCCATTTCCTCCCCATCTGTCTCATCGCCTCCCTCATTTTCCCTCAGAAATAACAAATCAGACATAAAATGTCCTTTTTTTTTTCCTTCCTTGCGTTCGCGCCGTCCTTCCTCGTCCCTCGCGCCTGGCGGGAGGCTGCGCGCGCGCACGCGTTTGCATAGACTCTTGGAGGCCTCATGCAAATCGCAGCTTTTAAACGTTAGCAATCGGGCTGTTAGCGTGAGCCACGTCTCTCCCCGCGGGGGGTCGCAGCTGCGCCGACGTCGGATGTTTCCTCCTTTTGCGCCACTCGTACTGTTGCTACAGCGAGCCAACTCGACAGAGACAACAACCCCCGGCAGAAACAACATCTGCGATAAGTGCGCGCGGCCCGCCCGCGACAGTACGCTGCAGACCAGCGCCGTATTTACTTTGGGCGACAACGCAGCACAAAGCGCGTTTCCATAGCATTTACATGAGTGTTTAGACTGGCAAATTCCCCCCCCCCTCAGCGAAACCCCTCGGCGGGCGGAGAAGACGCCGACGTTTTTGTGCGGGTAGCAAAGTAAAGACGTTGGTTCTCGGCGGGGAATCGGCCGAACGGGGGAGACTCTGTGAGGAGCGGCGGCGGCGGGGAAACGTGGGTCGACAGCTGCGAACCGCTGCCGCAAACACGCGGCGCGACGAGGGGGAAAGTGGCGCTTTTCTTCTTCTTCTTCTTCTTCTTTCTTCGTCGTCTCCGTCTCTTCCCCATCGAGGTTCACCGTCTCCAACTCCGGCCGCTCCGAAGATTTACAAAAGATTTGCATCAACTTGCAAATGTGGCGATCGTCCGGATTGGAAGTGGCTGGATTTGCCTTTTCTCCTCGATCGCTGGGCGAATGTTTCAAAAAGGGCCCCGGGGAAGACGGGAGGGGGGGGGGGGCCGCACCTCGGAGGAGCCTCCACTTGCAAATCAAAACATTTAGTCCTTCAGCAAAGCACGACGCGGCAAACAGACGCGACGTAGCCTCCGCTTTAAAGGGGGGGGGGGCACTGATTGTTTTATGGACCCGAGGGGAAAGTTCAGCGTTTACTTTGAGCCACAAGCTGCATTCGTCTTGTCCAGCGCTACAAGTGGCGGTTTGTGTTGCAGAAGTCTCCTCCTGCCCCCCCCCCCCCCCCCCCACTGCTGAGACCAGAGCACAGGTGTGCGATGGACACCTTGTTTGTGTTAACGCAACAGATTGGAGGTTCAGACACAGAAACGTCACAATATTTTTTTTTAAGGAACAAATGGAATTTTTTTGAGTCAAAAAGGTCGAAATCAAAATCTAAACTTGTTGTCGTGAGCTGTTGGAATTATTAGATCACAATCAGGGACACAAAAGAGGTGAGAAGAGGCCTGGACGTGGACCCCCGACGCCTTGAGTCACAGATGAACTCTTGAAAGTGACCCCCCCCCCTCCCCATGTTTTATTCAAACATGAGGGGGGGCGGCAGTGTGGGAAAACCGACTCAGCGCTCAAAACATTTCACCACATGTCTGAAGACCGAAAGAAGAAAGTAAAAACGCGCCCCCACCTCCTGCTAACACGCGCTACAAAGAATATCGGCCATGGAGGTTCAAGTCAAACAACGAGCGCCAGCAAAGTGGGCGTCCAATCGCTCCAGCTCGCACACTACAGGTGTGTGTGTGTGTGTGTGTGTCTGTGCGTGTGTGTGTGCAACTTTGCTTTCTGGAGACTCCCAGAGACCTCCAGTCATCTCGCCCCTATCGCCCCCCCAGCTCCCCCCTCCGGGCCTGTCAGCCCTGACAACATGGTAATTAAGTGGCAGCTACACATTTCTTATTGGATTACAAGGAGCCGGGGGGAGTCGGGTGGAGCCAGGGGGAGTCGGGGGGAGTCGGGGGAGTCGGGGGGTTTGCTGGTAGACACAAATGAACAGAGCTCCTCCAGCGTTTCCTTCACGCCCGCCGAGCGCCGATGAAAAATACAGCATGTGCCATTTACTCCTAGAGTCAAAATATCCCACCGTGGGACCTTTTCTGAGGCTGTGTGTGTGTGTGTGTGTGTGTGTGTGTGTGTGTGTGTGTGTGTGTGTGAGTGTTTGAGTCCGAGGTGCCTAATAGATTCTTAATGTGCAAACAGGATCGCGGCGTATCGGATGGTGCTGCGAGTTACTGGCGTGACGACGGTGGAACGGATGGCTTGATTCAACACCTGGAGAAGGGTTCATCCTAGGTGTGTGTGTGCGTGTGTGTGTGTGCGTGTGTGTGTGTGTGTGTGTGCGGAATGAGATGAATGGAGCTGCTGCAGTGGAGACATCATCTATTCCATCGAATGGATGATCACCTTTGACCTGTTCAGCTGCGCGCTGATAAATGCGATTAGATTAGAACTGTGCTTTGAGCTAACGTTGCTAACATGCTAATGGGAAAAAACACACACAAGAATGTGGACCTCTTCGTGGGCAAAGAGGTCCACATTCTTTGTGTTATAAAATAAATCCGTAGCAGAAATTTTACATACAAGCAATAGCTTTTATTGTTTTAGTGCTAATATCCCAAATGTCTTGTTAAATTTGTGTGTAATCGTGGTTTTTGGGGTAATCTCCTTTTATAAATTTAAAATTAAGGATTTTTTAAAAATGTTTTGCTGTCAGAGACGACAGCAAATTAAAACCATGCGGAGTCAAACTGATTCTCTGTACGGTACATTTAATAAAGCTTTGAATATGAACATTTCATTTAGAAAATCTGTAGCTTTAAATTAATTAAAGACATTGTGATAACAGCCTTAAGATATAATCATAATTATATAATATCTTCAAATACAAAAGTATAATTGGAATATAGCTGGATAAATACCTACATGAAAAATAATAAAATTGTATTTTAAAAAGTCAGTAAAAAAAGTTTGACAAGAGCAATTAAATTCAAAATTACAAGAGAACAAAGAGACAAAGTGTTGAGATTAGTGGCTGGTAAAATAAACCAGAATGTCTGTATTCATTTAGAAAGATAATATTTGATGCAATAAAACTGACACATTGACACGAGATATACGGTATCATAACGTATTTATATCATAGAATATAGATTTTGTGTGTGTGTGTGTGTGTGTGTGTGTGTGTGTGTGTGTGTGTGTGTGTGTGTGTGTGTGTGTGTGTGCGCTGTTGACTCTGCTGACATGGTAAATCTCACTTTGGGAATGAAAACTCGTGAGGACTTCAGCAGATTCTTATCAGTGGCGGTTAGTGCAGACAAACACTGTCACCTTCTGCTCAGCAGCCAACTGCTGTCGCACACACCTACACACACACAGACACACACACGTATCACCCTGCGGAGATAAAAGATAAAGATAGAAGCCAAAGATCCAGACCTCAAAGTCAGAGGGAACCAAAAACATCGGCTGCAGATCCTGACGGAGGAGCAACAAAAAGCTACAAAACAAAAATGTTTAAAATGACACAAAATGTCATCACCAGCCCACATCCAGTCGGAGGCCTCTCTCCGCCTTGTTTTATGTTTGATAGCCGCTCGTCTTGTTCGTCACTGAAGGATCCGTGTTCTGCAGCTCACGTGAAACCCTCGTCTCTCACGCACACACACGCACATGCACACACATGCACGCACACACACACACACACATGCACGCACTGAGGGTCCGTAAGTGGAAAGGAAGGAGGGTCTCGTGTTGAGCGGAGGAGACAAAGCCGCTCACAGTGTGCAGAACACAGTTAGTGCGTCTCCACTCGTCCTGTATGTGTTTGCGTTTGTGCGATTTGAGTTTATGCAAATACACAATGTCATGAAAAACATCAATGAGTTCTCAATGAGTCTGAGTTCACGGCTGTGTGTCCTTTTGCTGAATTTATGTAAAACTTTTTGTTTCGTTGCTGCTTAAATTTATTGTATATATATTTACACAATACATTTAAATATATATTTAAAATCGCAACATAATGTAACATCTAAATGAGCACAAAAACTAAAATAAAAAATGAAAAAATCCACTTATTTGTGACACCAAAAATACGGCATCATCACTCATTTTACTGATATCAACCGTGTGTTCGTTTTTCCAAAGAAGAATCAGTTTGTTGGTTTTATTCATGGATTATCAACTTTTATTATTATATGAATATGATTCAAATTTGAAACTTCTCCAACAACGCAGACTTTGCAAAATGAATATTTGACACTTGTTGGAAAAATGTGTCACAACTAAAGTATGCAATTTTTTATAAAACAATAACTGCTAAATAGAAGTATTTTTTTTTAACAAACTATTTTCTCTGATATTTGCATATGATAAATCTGTTATTTTATTAGTCTCAGATCCTGAGTTTGGTTTGAAGTGTTGTGAATGTAAAAGTCTGCATTGATTTATTCGTGGGTGCAGAATAACTTCTGACCCCAAACAAAAACCTGTTCACGGTTAAACACGCCTTAAAATGAAATACAAGACCTTTTATGGAAAGAGTTCAGTCTTTTAAAGTTTATTGACATGAGGAAAACATTGGGATAATGTTTAAATACTCTACAGAATAAAGTTATTAAAACATGCAGGTGGAAAATATAATATACTGTACATAAATACTCCATCGGAAGAACAAATCTTCTATCTTCTAACGCAGTGCCTGTGTGTTTAAGATTAAGTTTGACCCCAAAAACCACAACTTGAGACGCCCTCCGATGAGACCAACCTGACGTTTATAGTGCAAGAAAAGACTCTTAATGGAAATCAATGGAATGCTCGACTCATGGCGGGCGCGGGTCTCTTCAGTATGGCCTCCACGGAGAAGGACAGACCCTCGCCGGACGCCACCTTGCTCCCCACGGGCTTGTGCAGAAAGTCTTTGCCGTACCTGTCGGCGATCTTCGCCGCCTGAACGTCCTTGGCGGAGCCCTCCCTGAACTTCCGGGCGGCCTCCTCCAGGAGCTCCCTGCAGTACGGGCCCCGGAGCTCCAGCCCGGCCCCGCCGCCGCCGCCGCCGCCGCCGGCCTTCTCCCCCAGCGAGTGCTGGATGAGGGAGTGGAACGAGTTGAGCCTCACGGACAGCTTGCCGCTGTCCTTGCTCGGCTTGTTGGGCAGCTGGCCCGAGTTCTGGGAGTGACAGTTGCCGGGGAAGGATTGTCCGAAGCTCCTGTTGGGCGGGGAGAAGGCCGAGCGCTCTCGCTGGCCCCCCGGCCCAACACCCCGCCCCACGCCGGGGGCTTTGCCGTCCGCCCGCTGAGGGTCCGCCGGCGGGAGCGCCGCAGCTGCTCGGGGCCCCTCGGCCTCGGCCTCCCGCTCCGGCGGCTGGCTCTCCTTCTGCTCCCACGCCGGCTTCGCGCCGGGCCCCGCCGCCGCGTTGAACAGGCACTGCTGGTAGAGCAGGGCGTCGCCCAGGTTGGCCGCCCCGCGGGGCCACATCATGAAGCCGCCGCCGCCGCCGCCGCCGCTGCCGCGTGCCGGCTGCAGCGGGTAGTGGCGGTAGGTGGTGGCCACGCTGACGTTGGAGGAGATGAGCTCCACGTTGGCCGAGCCGGCCGGGTACGGCATGGACAGGTCCAGGCAGTTGGGCCCCAGGAAGCCGCACAGCTCTTTGGGCGGAGCCTCGGCCGGAGGCGCCGGCGAGTAGGACGTCTTGTAGTTGTACTCGGCGGCGGCGGCGGCGCGGTGACGGTGGTGGTGGTGAGTCACGGCGCCGGGGAAGAGGAGCGAGGCCGCCTGGCCGGCCTCCAGCAGCTCCCGCTCCTTGTACTCGCGCTCCAGCATGATGGTCTCCAGCTCCTTGTCGGCGAAGGCCCTCCTCTTCCTCATGCGGTCGCTCAGCGGCGGGGGGAGGGCCGCGTTGGCCGCGAGGAACGGGTCCGACTGCACCGGGCGGTATCCTGTCGTCAAAAGAACCCCCGTTTAAACCACTCGGACCGCAAAGGGTTCTGGGTAAAGGCTGAGGCCGTGCAGGCGTATGCAGAAAAGGGGAATTTTCAAACGCGCTCTGGAATTAAATCCTATTTGTGTGTTGTGACAATACTGGAGATGGTCATCAGTTGGGTTACGTAACGCGTGTATTTACTGCTCGCAGGTGTCGTCTCATCGCCGCTGTGGTTTTATTAGCGGGAAAGGAAACGGGGACGCCAGGGGAGCCAAGAGAAACAGAAAAAGATCTCAGAGTAAAGAAAGTAACGTTTGTGTTTGTCGTGTCGTTACCTTCCAGGATGCTTTTGGCGAGCATGGTGGACGGTCGAATGTGCCGCTGATAAATCGTCCTCCTCTCCGCTGGGATCGCCTTCCCCGATATTCCTTTCTTATCCTGGAGAAAAGTAAAGAGAAGGAACGACTTCAGGTCCAACTCGTGGCAACAATCTAGTAAATGTTGGTCGTGATTCTGCGCTGTGTTTTTTTTTTTTTATTATTAAAAAGTTGAAAAATAGTTTTTACGACGACGCCTGCTTCTTTAATCTAAACTGCGACGTGTTCACAAGTCTGTGTGATGAAAGTTGTACAATAAGCTTTCACACGCACACACACACACACACTCAAACATCCATCTGGTTTCATCTTTAAAATACCACAGCTGACGTAATTCATTATTTTGACCTCAGACATTCTCAAATATTTGAATGTCACCACAGTCTAAACACACACACACACACACACACACACACGCATAATTTAAACCCAAACGCGCTTCAGTTGGAAAAACCAAAGCTCACTTCAAACTTGACTTTGACAAATGAATTGTGTTGTTTCGAAGACGCGGGGCGGTTTGTTTGTGCTGATGTCACGTTACTTTCACAAAGCCTCGTAATGTCGAGTTGAAGCTGAATATAAATAACCGACTGCAATATGAAGACTATAACGGGTCAAATATGAAGCGCGTTATATTATATCTTATTATAGAGTCACGTTTACAGCAACCGGACTTGACGTGATTTCAAGTGAGTATCGTTCATCTCGTGATATTGGAGGATGATGCAGGTCTGACAAGCTCAACAGTGACTGAGCCTTTGGATCAGCGAGGTCAATAAAGCAGAATTAATAACCACCATTCCTCCACATAAATACAGTAGAATACACATTTTACTGTATTTGCTAAACAAATATTATGTTAATAAATATTAAACTAAAAAAAACACCTGAATGTATCACAACTGCTCCGGCTTTTTAACGCTAATGCGTTAACGCGCGCACCGCGGGCCTTTACCTCCGTGGCCTGCTGCCTCCTCAGCGCCACCTGCGCCGCCATCACCCGCTGCCGCTCCACCACCAGCAGGCAGTTGGCGCACTGGCAGTCCCGCCAGCGGCAGAAGCGCTTGTGTCCCTTCAGGCAGGACACCACGCCGTGGTTGCGGCAGCGGGCGCACTTCGGCGTCCGGCTCAGCTTCCTCTGGTCCCCCGCACACGGGCCCCCGGGGCCCGGCCGGTCCTGGGCGGCCGCCGCGGGGCCGCCGTCCGCTTCGTCGTCGTCGCCGCGGGCGGCGGCGAGCGGCTCGTCGCCCTCCGCCTCCAGACTCTCCACGTCGATTTCGAACTCGCAACCGGCGCTTTCCGACATGTTCGCCCGAGTCCTCCCGACGCCCAGTTTATGTCTGAAAGAGCACGTGGTGGAATCAGTGAAATAACAATCTCCTCCGCAAGCTGTCGTTTAATTTATTAGATAATTACAATCTCATTTATTCTAACGTAGGCGTAAATTAACTTTACGGTTAAGAGGGATGAAGAGAAGGTAAACTTTAATTCCCTGCAGCATGACGATCAGGATCGTAGTGGTCTAGTTTTTATTATTAATCTGCAGTTTGGATAAAAACAGAAATATCTTCCTTAAATCGCAGAAATATTTCCTCCTATCGACTCTCAAAAGTCCTAAAAGATAATTAAGGACAGATGAAAATGTGATTACTTTTAGCTTTTATTTTATTTCATATTCGACAAATGTTAGCAACACGTAGCCTTAAATCCAGATGAGAATATAAATTAGGAAGCCTAAAATAAATATCCATAATCATGCCTCCTCGCGGGACTCTAACAGCAGTGGTGCCTCCGCGCCGCAAAGTCTGCGGAGCTGCTCTGCACATCCACGCAAAGTCTGCGCGAGTTCACTCTTTACCTCCAACAGCTCGAGTCCGCGGTTTGTTGTCCAGGTTTTCTTTTTCTTTTTTTTTTCCTTCCCCCGCCGTCGTTAAGCACCGTGATGAATCGCCCTCAGAGTCCGGCCGGAGGCTCCTAATTAGCGGCTAATTGAGCGTCTCCCACCGCGCAGGACCCGAGTGTCCCTCCCGGAGGACGCGGCGCGCTAAGAGCCGCTCCAGGCTGCGCTGTCTGTCCTCCGATTGGCTGCTTCCGCGCGCCGGCCGACCAATGGGATTGCGGTCGGTTATTCGAGCAGAAAGGGGGGCGGGTGTTGATAGTTACTTTTTCCTTAGCAACGAGCTCGTTGCGTTAGAAAGAGTAAAATATAGATATAAATTTATAAAGTTGTCACTGTTCCTTCATCAAACAAAGTATTAAACGATTTCTTGTGCGTGCGCGCGATAATGATCCCAAAGTGTCTGATTGTTCACTGCGATCCCTTATTAATGTTATTATTTTTCTTTAGATGGATGAAGAATGATGGATGTTTATTTTATTGAGAACCTCGTAAACGTTTTCTCCCTTTTTTTGATTTGCTAAAGAAAAAAACAAAATAAAGAAATGATCGATCAGCAGTGATGAGTGATGTGACACTTTGACCTGATAAGGTCATCGATAATACCTTCAGACAAAAGCAGAACTTCTCTTTTGGCAAAGAGGCCACATCCTTTACATGTTGCTGGCTAAAGACACAAACGTATTAAGATTGACAGGTAGGCCGCAACTAAAATAACAAAGGTCTGTTTCACAACCCAAAAGACTGTATTAAGTCTACAGTCAAACTGGAATTAATAGCATGAATATTATATGATATGGTATAAATAATAAGGAAATAGCAGTGTTACTGATCGTCAGGTGCACTGCGGGTTGTTACACTCCTCCTGGTGACTACACATGTTTTCACAACAATCACACCTGACAGAAAATAGCACCATGTCAGCAGAGTCCTGCACACAACAAGTAAACGCTTTCTCAGAATACACAGCGTCACATTTCACCCAAAGATGAATAAGACGATTAAAAAACACCTTGTTTTCACACCTTAAACTTCTCGCAACGAAATCCCGCACACGATTACAACGACGTGACGAAAATAATAATAATAAAACCACAAAAGCAACACTTGTTTCCAAGTCCTCGACATCATCTCGTCGGTGTATCGCCGGGATTACGTCATTCCTCCCGCTGCGCGTAACAGCGGCGCGTCACGGTGAACGAACGAGGGTCCAACTGGGTTCACGTCTCGCGGCCTCCGCCCGCCTCTTTGTTCCCCCCCCCAAAAGGACAAGAGAGACATTTACTCGGCGTTAACGGACTTCCACGGGGACCGACCGCGGGACAATGGGGACACAAGGTCCTGTTGACTCAAAGGCTTTTGTGATGTGGAATGAACAAAGCGACGTCACGAGGACGGTGTTTTGTATATTCCGTTCCGGGAGGGGTCGGTACCTGCATGTGGTAATAATACATGAAAGCGAGCTATGGAATACATTTAAACAATACGTCATATTTATTTATTTTATAGAAAAAAAAAATAATGATAAAGAATATTTGTTTCATTTCGCTGCAGGCCTCACCGTCATTATGTCGTTTCAATGCGTCATAGAGACTTTCAGAAAGACGCACGTGCGCCTCTGAGGAGTCGCTGTGCGCGTGTGATTCTTTCTCCAGATGAGGAGACGTGCACGCGCCTCGTAACGGCTCCTCCAGGTGTCGCGCCGAAGACGTCCGGCCTGCAGGTGCGGCTTTATTCCGTCTTAATTTACTGCGGAGGTTACGACCGGCGACCCCGGGCCGCCGCCCCCGCGGCCGGAATGCTTTGAAGCCGAGGGGGGGGGGGGTCCGACCCGAGGACCAGGGGGGGACCGAGCTGGGACCCTCCAGGTGAGAAGTCCCGTGTCCTCTCACTGTGGACAGACAGCTCCTTGAGTGGGTTTCCAGGAACTGATTAGGAATCTTCTAAGATCCCTCGAAATAATCCACAGGGGGGGTCAGAGATGTCAGGTGGTCTCGATGAGTTTGGAGGAGGCTCAAAGGGGGGTTATGAGACGTTAGGGTGGTTCCAATAACACCTTGAGTTATTTCAAGGCCCTGTCAAACACTCAAACTCCTGGAACTATATTCAAGGACCACTGGAGACCCTTTGAGCTCCCCGCGAGGGCTCAAACCCACTTAACCTTCGGGGGCCCCTGGACCCTTGGATCTTAATCAAGGATGCTGAAACATCTTCAAGGACGCTGCAAAAGTCCAAACAGATACCCAGAGATCCTTGAGGGAGTCACCGTTCAACGAGGACTCTGTGGACCCCTCAAGGGATTCCAGCCCTTTGTAAAAGACTTGAGAAGAGTTTTCAGGAAACCTTCAGTTACAAAAAGAGTTCCAGGGGACTTTGAATGATTTTGGGGATCGTTAGGGTTCCGAATCCTGGAATGGATCCAAGGTGACATATTTAAGTGGGGTCCCCTGCAATTTCAAGGCTCCTGCACAGAGGAGTTAATGACGATGCAAATATATGAATAAAGGCATTTTTTTTCCTTTACTCAAAAGAATGTTGTAACATCTGCTTTCGAGCGGAAAAGGATCAACTATGACTTGTCTTATTGTGACTTTTTAAATAAAAGTAATACAGTTATATTTTAACTGGCCTATAGCACCACTAATTTTATTTCTTAACAAAATCAGTTTAAAATGTTCCATAATCAGCTCTTCAATGTGTATTTAGGCTCCCGTCTGTGCACTCAGGCCTTAACTGGTGTTGATCCTCTTTAATGGGCTCTCTCACACACACACACACACACACACACACACACACACACACACACACACACACAATGACACTTTCTCACACGCTGTCGGCTTCACCCTCTGATTGAAACAACAGCATCTTGTTGGAAGCGCCCCGCTGTGCCGGCCGTAAAAGCGAAACAGGAGCTGTGTATAGACAGAAGAGCCGAGTGGGATCACTGGGATCACTGGGGGGATCCTGTTATGTTAATTATCCTCTGATGGACCGACAACACATGCAGTTGAATACAAAACCATGCGGGGCAACATTTGTCTCTGTCTGACCCCTTGACCTCCAGGACGTGTCCTTCAGAGGAGCTGGAGGAAGTATTCAGATCCTTCCCTCACCAATACCACAGTGAAAAAATATATATATTTATATATGGCCTGCATTGTAAAAGTATAACCACTTAGAAGTCCTCAGGATGAAGATAAATGACTGTTGTATAATTTATGTTTCCAGGTCTGATCAGACTTTACAAACTACGGTTTGTGTGAAAAAATCTTGATCGGAACCAAAGCTGTCTGATGAACGTAGTGAAGTAAAAAGCAATATTTCCTATACACTTTAGTAAAGTAGAAGTAACCCTAAATGTGTACTGAAAAATATTGTGGTAAATTTGATGGCAGAGTGGAAAAAAAGTAAATAACCTGCAGGAAATCGTTCCCTTAGACCTTGTCCTCCGGCCTCTAATATCGTCATTTCATTTAAATCAGTGTGATGGAATTATTGCCTCTAACAGGTCTTATAAAATGTAATTAATAAAGTGAGTTTGCACACGTATTCTTTACAGATGTTTCTTTTTAAATTCAACAATGTTCCCCGTGTGAAGCATCAGCTGCAGACCTGTTGTGACGTAACATGAAGTTTGACGGACTCATTCCGGCCACTCGGTGGCGCACTGGAGCGGTTTTCCAGTGATGAATAAAAAAATCGGAGATCATATTTAGAAAGTGTATTAAAACGTTTTTTTTCCCCCTGGACTGTCCACGGTGAAATAAATACTCCCTCAGGTTTTGTGTTAAAATCCATTAAAACATGGAGGCTTTGAGATTTAGTTTCTTTGATAAACCTTCATAAAGATTGATCCTATACTTACCTACACAAAGACACATTTTGTGTCTTTATAACGTAACATTTTATGTTATAAATATTTTATGTTCAGTTCTGAGAGAGAACACGTTGTGGTTGTTTTCCTCCACCAGGCGGCAGCATTTGTAAGCTTTTGACGAGAGGACACAATCGTTTCTGCGCCTCTTTATTTGTATTTCGCTAATCGGTGAAATAAAGTGTTGTTACAAGTTTTATTATTTTTACGGTTTAAGAAAAACGTTTCACTCTCAGACTGAAAACTAAAACAGCTTGTAAAAGTCTTGCTGGGGACCAATAGAGTTTGTTTTTAATCTTAATCTATAATATTCCTTGAGCACTTATTATTATATGTTGTGTATTCATTTGAATATGCAAGGAACCAAATTCATCAAACAAACATAGTAAAAAGTAACAAATACTTCCCTCTCGATGGAGTAAATGAATGATGTAGCAAAAAGTGGTAATACTCAAGTAAAGTACCTCAACAAACTCCACTGCTGACTATCGAGGATGTCCAGTTTAAATAAATCAGGCGTCGCGTTGGTTGGCGCATGCGTATGAGCACATTTACAAATTCAAGGTATACTCGAGTATTATACCTTGAGTATTATGGCTTATTTACACCTGTACTCCACCCCCCCAGAGGTGCATTTTCTACTTACAGCTCCACCACATCTGTCTGAAGGCTCATGTGCCTTTTCAGACAACCGTCTTCGTCCTCGTTCCACACCTGTTCCAGATGTGCTGATGCGGAATGTTTGTTACTGAATGATGAATCTGTTCCTTCGTAAAGAGCCCAGTCACAAGAGAAGCTGGAACAAATGATGATGCAATAGATCATGACGCCGAATATTAAACCAGCCAACGGGGTGTGAAATGGTTCATATTATCCAGTCAAATGCAACACATTGAGATTAATCTGGAAACATTGTCTATTAAAACATTTTACTGCACAAAGCATACTTTTACTGTTGCTGGTTATTTTACTAAAGCGGAGTTTGAATGCAGGACTAACCCAAAAGCAGAGGATTGGAAATACAGGTCACTGTATTTCTATAGGAGTCACGTGTGAATGATATTTTGTTTTGACATCTGAGACAAATCCTGCATCTTGAGATCGGTTCTCAAAGCAGCGCTTTTACAAACCGGAACCCATAAAAACAATATTCAGGATTGTTTTTGTTAGATACTGCGAAACGCTGTTATATTGTGCAAAGTGCTCATGCATTTAATCACCGCGAAAGACCACCAGATTTAATAAATGAATAATTCTGTCATATGTCG